GAACTCATCCCAAAACGTAGTTGATTTCAACCACACCATAGAGTTAGACAACACGTTTTTTAACAAACAATAAAAAAAAACAAAAAAAACGATTTCCATTATTCTATTTTTTTGTCAGAAACGGGCTCGTTAGTAATTCCATTTAATTGGAAAAAAATACTCCACCTCATAGAGCGTTTGTGTACGTACTACTTCCGATTCGCATCGGGAGGTCACCTCTCGATGTCCGTCCGACATACGTCCGAAACAATTACTGTCAAATAAGTAATATTCGACAAAATTAAAGGACAAGTATCAAGTGTGAAGCTTTATTCCCATCACGCGTCTTTTCATTTGGTCAAGTATTGCTTATTTGGCAGTAATTGTTTCGGACGGATGTCGGACGGAAATCGAGAGTAAACCCCCAGTTTAGAATCCGAGAAATGACGGTCCGAAATGTGACAGGGATTATTTTATCTCTAGGTGTACAAGCGATATTCATATTTTCTTCGATTCGAATGGGATTTAGTGCACTAGCGGCATCCGAAGTGGGTCCGAGATTTCTAAATTTGTATAGTCGATAGTCGGCACGAATATGGATCGATGCTACGCAAAGGCGATATAGGTGACAAATTAGGGGACGAATCCAGTTTTTCGATTTTCACCCAAATGAAAATATAATGTTATAACTGCCTCCGTGACCGAACTGTTACCATGCCGGACTGCCACACAGAGGTCCCTGGTTCGATTCCCGTGCTGGGAAAAGTAATTGCATGGCCTACATATATTTCTGTCGTGAGTTTGGGTGTAATTTGTGGTTGTCTATGCGTGTGTCCATGGCACCAGCGATAGAGGGTTTCCCTATTGCGGGCTATGAGTGAAATGATGGAAATGGCAGAGAGATGAGAAGAACTCCTCAAGAATGTACACCAGCTACCTTGTGTTTACTCTCATATAATTCGTTTTGAGGAGAACTTCCATATGCCTTTCAGGGATGCTGATGATAAGCAATGCCTTGTCAACCAACATGATCATAGTTTTGCGAAAATGGCATCTAATTATTTTTTCGTTATTTTTAGTTTATTGAATGTCATTTTTGCCACCATGGTACTGTCACCATCATGGTATTGAATTATTTTTACGAAATTACTCGGGATGGGACCAACAAGTCGTGTGTCTGATGGTAAGCAGCACGACTGTCCATAACAGTTGCAATGCCATTCAGAGCTTTAAATTGCAAAATGTGAGTGGCATTGCCACTGCGCCCGTCACCCTGAGACATAAGTTGACAAGTCCCATGTGCCTGTAATTTCACGTGCACCCTTACCCTTCATATCTGGAACACAGTAATGCTGACACTACTACCCTGGACGAACTCTTTCACAAGGAGGATTTCTTTGCAATTTAAAGATTTATGAGGCATTGCAACTGTTATGGATAGGCATGTTGCTTACCACCAGGTGCACGACTTGTTCGTCCCGTCACAATTTTTATATTATTTTATTATTTAAAATCTTTAAGTGCAATTTCCGCAAAACTGTGATCGTATTGGATGGCACGCTATTACTTAACAGCATCCAGTTATCGTTGAGGCGATCGCTATAACAAACGCAACGACAGCGAATAAACAGACTTTATAGGTCAGTTTAAAAAAAATATAATTATTCTTTATACTCTCAAACCAAAGCAAAGAAAACATTTAAAGCGATCACACCTCCTAACGCCATCTATCCTGCAGTATAAGAAATACAAGTATAGTTTTATTTCGATTTGATTCCTGTTCACGTTTGTACTTGAAGTTATTACCAACATCCAGGGCTTTTCAGAATGTTTCATTCCACACAAAATGCTGTAATTCCCAATTAAGATTGTAATTTGCAACCTATAAAATGATAATTACGAATAACGTTTACAAAACACTGTACTTCAATTCACCATAAAATAATAAGGTAAGCACCAAACTCACGCGCAGTTGCCACCTAATAGCGGTAACCAATAGGCAATCATTGTTACCCTTTCGCGCCAATTACTAAAGGGTGTGTTCAAATAATGACAGAGTTAAAATCGCTGGAAGCTATGAGAGTTAACCTTGGAATATAGACCAAGACTACACTCAGGTTTTACTCGGTTATTGATAACTCGGTATAATCGGTATCAAAATCGTCTGATATTTAAAATAACTAAAACCATTTGCATTTTGGCCAAAATCAAATCGTTATTCCATGAATTTAAACCGCATGTTCATTAAAATTTTCGTTTGAAAACAATCGAATTCATATCTACATGTCGTAAGACAAGGTTGATTTTTACTAAATTACGAAAAAGGTGTGCGGCGGAAAACCTATTAAATTATGTTAATAGTCGTGACAATGTCCGCGAATATCTTAAGAATGTTTATATTAGAATAAATTTAGTTACTTTTAACGCTCGAATAATTTTGACGCTGACTGTACTGACAAGTTTATTTTCTTTTGCCTATTTTAGAAATTTTGTATACAAAGGCTTGTACTTGCACAGTTTCTAGCCACAAAGAGGACCTCTCTAAGTTTTCATTCAGGTATCATAGTAATCCACTAATATAATCTTAAACTGGACAAAGAGTGTTGCAAGCTTATGATAAAGTCAAGTTGTCTATTTTAACTGAATTTAATTATGAACAAACTTTAATTGCATACTAGAGACCAAACAATTTAAGAATCTTAAATGCTAAGAAATGTGTACTCCCTAAACTACTTATTAGAGCGAATCGCTGTGGACGGATAAACCCGCAGTGGTTTTTAGAGCCACAGCTGCATGTATAAACAGCTTTAAGTTTATTAAAAATAAAAATAAAAAGTTTCCTAACATCGCGATCATATTTTTAATCAAACTAGGAACCCCTGTTTAGTGTATGTATGTCACAGCCCTATTACTCGCCAATTTATGCCCATATTGTCATGAAAATGTCATGGTACACATGTACGTTAAACACTGTGTGGCTACCCCACATGAAACAGCAGTATATCTGGGCATCTAACTAGATCTGGCTATAGTATAATAAGACAAATAGTATTAATCCATATAATTGTAGCAGCGCGATGAATGAGTTATACCACCTGTTGTACCATACCTGTTGCGCGCCGTTTACGGATGCACACATATGCGTAATTTCGCAACGCATTCGCAGTGCACAGTGAGGGCATCACACGCGCTATTCATTATAGAATGCAAGCGTTCATTCGATGTTAATATACTTTTTATCGAGTTCTTAGGTTTTCGCGATTGTTGCACATAGGAAATGAAACTGTTTTTCCGGATTTAAATCGCGTATATTTGTTTTTTCAAACAAACCGACGTTTCGGGCCCTTTACAGGTCCCATGGTGACTACATGGTAATTTGAACGGTGTATAATCACATGGAGTAATTTCACAAAAATAAATGGAAATCATAGTAGTAAAACATTATAACATTCACTACGTGTTTATTGACAATACATAAGACGTGTTTAATGTTGTTTTTTATGGTTGTTTAAACACGAATTGTTCAGCATTTTATTTTTATTTCATTATCATATTCCTGTAATCGAGATACCAATCCGATCCTAATATAAAGATATCAATATGTAAGTATTATATTTGATAAAGATTATATCACTATTATAACACGAGAATATTGTGATGAATATCTTAATTTTTCCGAATTATATTTAAAATCTGTGGGAAATATTAAAAAAATGTGACAGCCCCACGCTCCTAATGATGTGAAGCCATTGATGCGCCGAACAGGCACGAGTTGGACTACTTGTACAATGCTTATACTATGGTCCAGAACAGGCGCATGGCGAACAATGTAAATCAGCCTTAAATTGAAGAAAAAAGTGGGTATATCGGAAAATATTTCGACAAATCAACACATGCTACTTAAACAAATTAAAATTGTTTAGCCTTTCCTGGTTGGTCAATGCCATCTTTAAATGTTGTAGCTCAATCATTCATTGTAAAGCTAACAGGCGCTTGTCCCCAATTACTGAAAATAAAAATCGTTATCAACGATAAAAAAATAAACTTAAAAACTAGTCTTTTCTTAGTGCTATTAAAAGAATAAATATAAATTGATAGCAAAAAGTGAATCTTATTAACTTAATAGTGACGTCATTACATTCAAAATATGGAAGAAAATTTATTCGCAACAAAAAACGTAAGTGTTTTTTTAATCAAATTTAAATAACACTGTTGGAGGCGTCGTAAAACTACATAGGTATTTTCTAAATTCAGGTTGCATTTTGAACCACATTCCGGGTAGATACCGTACTTTATTAATATACTGTTTTGTAGATTTCTCCTAAACATGTACACCGTTAATCTTGTGTACTATATGCATATAAGGTAATTAAAAAAGACTACAAAGTTATTAAAAACATAAGGTATTTTGGCAACTGTAACAGCAGCACTTATTGTGTCATCGGTCGTGTGACAAATTTATAAAATCATGGGCAACGGAAACCCACCGTTATATTGCAACAAGAGGACATAAAAAAAGAAAAGAAAATTTAAATTTTTCTGTGTTTTCCACCTTCAGTAATCAAAATAAATTTGTTTTTTGCAGTCGAAGGTGGACAATCGCGGTGTGGATAGATTTGTATTACCCCGTCACGTATTGTCTGACATACGTATGCGACAACACTATTATAATTCTCTGGAGAAAGTGGACATTTGGGTAAGTCAAATAAAACTCTTAACTAATGAACTAAGGTCCTCCTCACACGACGATCTTTTAAATAATAAAGAAATACAATCTAACTGAATTAGTTCCTATATTAATAATAATAATTAGTATAAAAAAATCATTATCTTGTTAAGATAGATTTGATGTTTTTTAATAATATTTAAAACAATTTAATATTTTTGTTGCGTAATTTGTAATTTATTATTGTCGTATGTGCAATTAACTATTCAACCGCCAATCATTATGAACGAGAAAAAGTATTCACTTTTTTTTAACAAATTCAAATTATACCTAGTTGGTAAATGTTACTACAATTTAAGTGAATAATTTAATGACGAAATACAATAATATTGTAACAAATTTTTATAATAAAATTAATAAATAAATCTTTAATTATATATTTATATTATTATAATATATTCATGTTATTGTAATTTAATTTAATTGGAATTTTCTCAGTGACATACTTCTTATTATACTAATGTTAATAGTGAACAACTAAAGTGACTAGTCTAAGCCTTGGCCTGTCTCTGCCTCTGCTCTTATTGTTATCCCTAAGACAGAGCTCATATGTATAACATTATTTTAATTTTAAGACCTTATGTACCACATGAAGACAATAAATATATTAATTATTGTATTTTAACTGTTTTGCACATTGGACTTTATAGTATAAAGTTGAGGGTGCTATTGGCTGTGCCTTCTGTACAGAAGTATATAGCACTACTACGATACTAATCATTATAGGGCTTCCTGTATGGACCATTTTTAAGAATAGCTTGTCTCTGAAGTAAGTGAAGAAACTTTGGTTGAAAATAAAATTTTATTTAATTTCTCTTTATTGGGGAAAGACAAACAATTAACTGCCTCCGTGGCCGAACGGTTACCATGCCTGTCACGCAGAGATTCCAGGTTCGATTCCCGGACCGGGAGAAATATTTGTATGGCCTCCAGTTATTTTTCTCGTGAGTTTGGGTGTGATTTGTGGTTGTCTATATTGGTGTGTCCATGGCACCCGCGACCTAGGAATTTCCTAGTACGGGGCTATATTGAGTATGTGCGGTAAAAAAATAAAAAATTGTACAATGTTAGTTATACATAAAAGAATACCCGTATAGCTAATTATATCAGCCATACCATCCACAGATTACTACAAAAGACTGATCCACCACCAACTGTAAATCCGAACTGATTCATTCTATATTTTGTAATTCTCAATGGATCCCATCATTGTTTTTGTAAGGTAACCGGGACCGGGACTGACACAGCGTTATCAGTGGCGTTGTACAGGTCCTCGCGTGTGCAGGTGTAGGGGCACGCAGGACAAGACAAAAGATGTGCCGTAGTCTGATGAGAGACAGCACAAACACATGCGCTCTCAGAGCTATAACCCCACCTGTGCATTCTCTCATTGCTTCGGCCGACTTCGGTCCGCAGTCTAATTAGAGACTTCCAAGTGTGCCAAGGTAGATTACGCCCAGGAGGGAGGTGCTCCGACAGCGGAATGAGTGATGCCGTGGGGTTTCTCTCCTTCCAGCAATTTATACGGACTTGATTACTTTCCCCTTCCAGAGGGAATACTTCTTTAATGAAACTATGCCGACTCTTTAACCTCTGGATTACCGGCACGTGATAGTGTACGGGATGCCGCGGGTCAGTTTCTTTTTTTAAACGCTCCACGTCTCTGCGGACGTCCGGAGGGGCAACAAAAGGGAGGGGCAGGGGTTGGTTTCAGACAGCCCGTAATAATTCGGCATGTATTGTGTCATTTAGTGCTGTGTCCACCAGGTGCGTGTGTGCTGAACGGCTCCAAACTGGGCTAGCGTATTCACCTACGGAAAAGAAAAGGGCTAGTCCGGTATTGAGCATCAAAAATGTTATATGCGTATAACTATCACAGACCATCAATTTTTTTGGGACAAGTTATTAATATTGACATATTGCATATCACAATTTTAAAAAAACAGTCTTATTTAAAATGTAAATTTTTCTTTGAACCTGTCAATTGAATAATTTTCACCGCGTGTTATTTTTTGCTCGATTGTATTTTGGTATTTTTTTAAGAAATAACAAAAGTTTAAGGCCGTTAAAGAATAGAATAGAATCGTTTATTTCATATAATCAATGTCACAATATTACAATTAAAAATACAATATCAAGGGATAATATGATAGTCACTAAAGCAAACAATAATAATGGATGTAAAATAAATTAGTATAACTACTGCCTGTTTAAATATAACGATGTTAAAACTTTCTTTTAAAACAAAATTATAATTGTTTCAAAAGAAACTCATCGACACTGTAGAATTCATTATCCAATTAAAGGAGTTTTAGTCGGGTATTAAACGTTTCACCGTTTGTGACACTTTTCTGTGGGTAGATGTTCGTAGAATCGGGGACCTATTACCCACGGATTTCTCGCAAGTTCGGTATGATGGGCAACGGATTTTAGTTTTTCCGCCTTTCGCGGCCTCCACGCGTATGTCGCGTCGCTCTTCTGTGCTCAAGTTTACGTCAAGTGTACGCATAAACTATTATATCATAGATGTATTGTGAGTACGTCATCATTATATGGTATTTTTTCAAAAGGTTTCTGCAGTACTGAACCTTTTTTTTATACCTACCATAGTTCTTAGTGCACGTTTTTGAAGAATAAAAACTCTATTCGACTCAGTTGAGTTACCCCACAGTGCGATGTCGTATGACGTCAATGAATAGGAATATGCAAAGTACGTCTGCCTTAATACCACATTGGACACTAGAGGTCGCAGTTTACTAAGTGCATAAGTAGCACTTTTTCCCAGTTTTCCAGTTTAAATTTTGTGTCTAACGTGAAACCCAAGAATTTACAAGTGTTGCAAAAATTGTAATTGGTGGTAATTGGTCATATTTTAGAATTTCTTCCCGAGAACATAAGGTTCGACTTCGATATTTTAAGAATAAGTCCATTCGAAGAGAACCACTCACGCAGTTGCTTGTACATGTAGGCTATTATAGTTTTAAGAAAATAGGACGATATTGACAGCCTCCGTGGTCGAGGGGCAAGCACACCGGTTTTCATGGTGTCGCCATGGTGGTCACTCACATATATATAGCAATGCAGTACACAAAAGTACTATAATAGAGGGCTATAGCTCAGATGCAGTGCGAGAGGTACTTTTAATAATATAAAACCGGGATTAACTTCAAACATTTGGTTTATTTTACCATTCTTTACATAATTTCACTTTGGGTTACAAATCAATCTTAATTAATAATAAATGTCAAGCTCTTCTATTCTTATTTCATTTCTTCGAAAGCATTCTAAATACAAACTATAATCATTACCTATGTTCAGCCAGCAATTCTACTCAAAGAGTACAGCCTAGTCTACAGTACCTACATACACATAATTCTTCCAGAATTAATAGCTTTGTTTATAATACCAAATGATGCAAACATCTTATTAGGGGCGTTGCCACTGCGCTCGTCACCCTGATACATAAGTTCACAAGTCCCATGTGCATGTAATTTCTCCAGCACCCTTCCCTTCCATAACAGAACGCAGTAATGTTCACATTACTATTTGCTGCATATTCTCCCTAATTATTCGCGTTAATACACCTTCATATTTCTTTTTTTTTCCAGGATATAAAGCATCAGCAACAAAAGAAATACAAGAACTACCTTACGACGAAGTTAGGTTTAAAACAGCAATTGAAATTTCCCAAAGACGAAGTGAGCGAGCAGCCATGGCCTTGCGTGCCAAGAAAACAATCATATTTATCGTCGGCTTATAATATTTTGGACCTGCCCCATTTGAGCTACGCTTTTTGTAAGTTTTTTTTATCTCTTATTTAAACTCAAATTCAAATTATTTATTTCGAATGTTGTACATCTATGTTGGTTAGTAATACAAACAAAAACTTACACACGAATGTTAGTAATAACAAATATTCACTCTATTTAGGGTACGTGTGAATTTTGGTCTAGTGTTCAAGGAATGAACCTTGGACCCAGCCAGCAATGATACTCAGGAGGCCGCTGCCGCTGCCACGGATTCTGTGCATCAAGGTGGCTATTCCTTTTTCACATGATGGCAGCGAACCCATTTATTTGTGCATACGCGAACATTCCCGAGGCACTGCAGAATCGGAGCAGCTGCAACAGCATCCTGAATATATTATTATACACAACTCGTAGGGAGCTGAGAGCTTTCTGGACGTAGTTAACCCTTAGGCTGAAGGTGTGAAAGGTCTGGCAGTAAGCTTTAAATAGCGATACCTTAACGTTACTAGTTAGTACACCTTTTTTTTTTGACGGGGGGAAATCTTTATGGATACCCCTGAGCCCAGGGAGACTCAGGGGTTATGTAGGGACTCTCCCTCCACACTGGAAGGCCTACCCCGCTAAAACCCCCCCGGGTTTCCCTCTCGCCGGTTGAGTCGGCGCCGTGGGATCAGTGAACATTCACCATGACGCCGCCCGGCCGCCCTAGCTTGCGCCAGGGCTCCCGCACCAACGGAGGGACGAGTCGGTTGTCCTCCGACCCGCCCCCCAGACGAGTGAGGCCGTGCAATGCAGGCTCCGGAGTCCCTGTCCAGAGCCCGCTGGTCTCACTAGGGGATCAGGCGAGCAGCGAACTGCCTTCGCCTTCTCCCCGTACGTCTACGCCGGAGCGGGTGCGCGTCCGCCGCGTCCTCGCGCACCCGCTCCGCGGCCTCCTTTTGCGACATAGTCTCTGTGCAAAAGGAGGCCACCGCCTCCCAGGACTCCTCGCTATCGAGCATGGCGGCAACCACGCTCGGCAACGAGAGGTCCTGCCCTATACTAGTTAGTATACCTAGCAAACCTACGTGCCGACATGTTGCCCCACACTGACAGCGCCCTCTTCTCTTTCAATATCTGTTTTATCTTCTAAGGACTCGGTGACCCAGTGCCCAAGGTACTTAAATTTAATGACTTTATTGAGAAGCGTGCCACACGGCTTAACTTCTAGAACGAAGTTATAGCATTTGCTGCCAGCTTTAAATACAGCAACTCGCTTTTAGTCGCGTTGTACCGAACGCCTTGGTCCACCGCTTAGAGTTCAAACTTTTCCACTGGCTTCCGGAGTGCGATTATTGACGGACTCAGCAATACCATGTCATCCGTGTAACTGACGTTGTTAACAATAGTGCTCTCAACTGAACATCCGATTCCAGTGTTACTGAGTTCGACATTAGACGGTTCATTTAACTAGGACTTTTTCACTTAGCGATAATGCCCCATCCCCAGCCCTATCGTTACAGTTAATTCTACTTAGATCTATTTTTAAATAAGTCGAGTATTAAATTATACGTTCCATTGCCCAGGATACAATTAGGTCTTGATATAGCGGGTGTGTAATGTAAATTATTATTGTATAATTATTATTCATATAACGCTCAATTGGCATAATTTTACTTTCTATAAACTTATTTAACATCATATAACGAACGTTTAATATAAACTTACACTCTATAATTTCATTTCTAATTACAATCACTAACTCTAACAGTAACTTTTAATAACAATCATAAGTTATAAACCACAGTTAACATAACGTCATTTTATCTAAATTTCATCTAGAAATAAGATTATTTCCGAAAAACGATATATTATATAACTATAATTTGGCCTGAAAACATGTTCGGAAACACAAACAAATTCGTTTCTGCTTTTCATGATCTAACCTAACCTACTGAATGGGAGCCGCAACCTTAATTGGACCTATGTAAAATAAAATCCGGTGTCTAACAATAATAATTTTTGTCGAAATGAAGATTCAGTATTGTAAACTATATTAAGGAAAACATCTCTCCCTCCACACTTCTGACTTTTACACTCCTAGTGTCGAATAGACAAGTACATACCATGGCCAGTCCGGTTTAAACTTATTATATATAAAAAGTGATGCTATACCACATAAAAATATATGAAATTAAATATTGTTATAAAGCTCACAAGTTTTATACAGTTTTTTTTTATAATATACTTTTTCTTCAGATCCAGAGATTCTCGACTGGGGTGCGGGCAATATCTTAGTAGCAGCTCTGGGCAAGACGTATCATATGTTCAGCTGGCAAAACCAAAGGGTGACAGGTCACGGTTTCTCCCGGTATATGATTAACTGCTGCAAGTTCAATCCGCAAGGGGATGTGTTGTTGGTAAGTATTTATGTAAAATAACCGCTGGTCTGCCACGCGGAGGTGCCGGGTTCGATTCCCGGGCCAAGAGAAATATTTGTATGGTCTTCATTTATTTCTCTCGTGAGTTTAAGTGTAATTTGTGGTTGTCCTGAAACATGAAACCTGCAAGGCAAAAAAGGTTCACAACCATCGGAAAACGTGTGAGTCCCTAACACGAATTGGGCCAGCGTGGCGGACTATGACCTACAATCCTCACCTGATAGATCCGTACCCAGAAGTGAGACGTATAAATAGGTTGATGATGACCTGATATCGCACTGCGTAAAATTCATCAATAAAACGGCCGTTAGAATATTGTAAGAAATAATAAAAACTTAACCTAAAATGAATTAAAGTTAGAGTCAGTAGTTCTGAACAAAACGTAAGGACTACTCAGAAATATGTAAATATTTTATCTCTTTTATTTTGGCAAGTAGGAAAAGGTTTAAACGTCTGTAATAAACTTTTTCTCAAACATGCTCGGAAATGTTTGCATTACTTTCAAAAAACGAACACGGAAAGTTTGTCATTTTGTGGGCCGTGCGACTTCTGCCCGGCCAAAGCCTACAAACTATGAAAACCATTACATAATGTCCTCTTCTCTAAGGCAAAAGAAAAATTCATACAGCCTACTGCCCAGTGTTCGTGATTGCGAGAATTAAAAATACCTACCTGTATTGCTTACTTTTTTTAAAAGAAAAGGCGGTAAAATAAACTAGAGTGCTTTGGTATTCTTTTCTGCTTTTTGGTCTTTTTTGTACTTTCGTCGAAAAAATAGTTTTAGTGAGCAGAGCGATAACGGAAGTATAGTAATTGATTCAGCTCCGATTTAAAACAAGAGGTAATATTAGTCATGGAAAACTTGTTGCTGGCTATGAACAAAGTAAGATACATGAAAACTTATGAAACTTTCATGCACTATAGTAGTCTGCTTCAGAAGTTTAGCAGACCACTATAGACTACTTATATGTGTCTGGAAAAATAACAACACATTCTTTTAGCAAATAGTCCTCACATGTCAAATATTATTTTTAATTTTTTTTTACTTTTTTATTGTACATCTTCCTCTCTTTGATCTTTTAGTATTTCTTCAAATTGTTTGAGAAAAACACTATACAAGCCTCGGCGGGAGCGGGGATTGCTTGACTCGTATTAATACAAGGCCTTGCTAGCTCTCGACCTTGTAACTCATACTCGTCCGGCAATCCCTTACTGCCCGGCCTCTGCAGTAATGTATTATAACTTACACATAAATTTTAATAATCTTTCACGAGACGTGAGTAATTCGTTTTTCATCGAAATACACTTTTAGAGTTAATACATTATTGTATTAACAGTGTGACATGTCAAGCGCGTTAGAACTGTCCGGAGGAAGTTCGAAATGTAATGTACTTTATGGGTTTTATTGGCATATTTATAACGATTGCTTTACTAACACAATAAGGGTATTTGTCCAAAAGAGAAGGCGTAATAAGCTTGATACTCAGATTAAGTTCATTTGCGGTAAGTGGAGGAAAGGAAGGGATAACTTTGTGGGATAGAAATTACTGAAGAATTAATGAATGGACGACATTACCCCCTTAAATCTTTCAAAGACTACCAACCCATACCTTCGCATTTCACTATAATATTACAAAGAGAATAATTTCGATCGAAAGATCCACACCACACCCGTCCGAACTGTCTGTCAGGATCGATCCCTTTGGGTCGATACAACCTGAAATTGCTTTTGTTGATTCGGCATAACAGTGAAAGTGTTGAATCTATTACTTTGGAAAAAATACGTAGTAAAATTGAAGATATGCACTGATTAGTATACGGTGTGAAAACATGATTCCTAAAAATGCACTATAGAAAAAAAACACAAACTTACCCCGAAATTTTACAAGTACACGGCTGTACCTATTCAATAAGTACTTTACACATGCCAATGGTCTTTTTTTATATCAACTGAAGTAAATAGAACACTTGTATTATATAACATACATTTTCCAAATGGCTGTAATTTCGAATTATAAAATTAATGTGGGAAAGACAAAGGTAATGGTTTTTGAAAGAGAGGAAGATATGACGATTTGCACGATATTGATTGAAGGAGAGAAAGTGGATCAAGTGAAAGAGTTTGTGTATTTGGGTTCTATGTTTACGTGTGATGGAAAATGTGAAAGAGACATTGAAAGAAGAGTGAACGCAGGAAATCAGGTGCATGGTGCCTTGCATACCTTCATAGACAGCCAGAAAGTGTCTAAAAAGGGCACGATTGACTGTGCATGGTGGGTGCTAGTTCCTACACTTATGTATGGTAGCGAATGTTGTGTTTGGCAGAAGAAGCATGAAAGTAGAATTAATGCAGTAGAAATGAGAGCTTTGAGGAGGATGGCTGGAGTGACTCGGATGGATAAATTACGGAACAGTGTGATAAGAGAGCGTTGCGGCGTGGAAGAAGATATAGTGACAAAGATAGAGAAAGGGATGCTTAGATTGTTCGGACATGTAGAGAGAATGAATGAAAGAAGAGTGACGAAACAGATTTATAAGGCGAGTGTGAGCGGGCAAGTTGGTATGGGCCGACCAAGGAGAACTTATCCTTATAGAAGGGCCAGGTCAAGAGTACCCTTAACCGATGAGCGTGTATGAAAGCATTGATGCGTGTTGATGAGGCGAAAGATGTGTGTCAGGACCGTAGCAGGTGGAAGACTGTTGTCTCTGCCTACCCCGATGGGCGTGAAGTATATGTATGTATGTATGTATGTAGTTTCGTTTGTAAAAAAATAAATTCTGAAATAAAGGCTCGACGCAACTAAACCGGTTCAATACGGGAAAGATCGTAATTCGAGCTGAGATATTGTCGATTCTTAAAATAGATTTGCTTTCAGATAGGAACAAATGCTAACTTCATGGAGCTACACGACAAAACATGGGTCAAGCGCTCTCCAGAGGCCTACTGTAAGTGTAAAGTGCGCCACTTCATCTGTGCCATCACCAGCATCGATTGGAGTCCTACCGGCAACTCTTTCGTTGCGTTAGTATCTCCTATTATTACACAAATTACTGCCGTGCTTACGACAACAATAGTAAACCTTCGTTCACACGGCATTGTCCTGCACGTTTTTTAACGTATTCGATTATATAAACGGTTAGACAGCGAGGTGTTCACACTATATATAGTTCACACGATATCAGTAGAATCTTTGTCTTGCAGAAACGTGCAGTTAGGGCAATTTACAATCTGGGCCCCAAAATATCTTTGAGAGATAAGTTTAAGGAAATTAACATTCTTACACTAGCCTCACAGTACATTTATGAAAATGTAATTTATGTTAAAAGGAATAGTAATTTATTTATGGAAAATAGTGACAGACATAACATTTATACGAGGAATAGAAATAAACTAGCTTTTCTTGATAGTCGTCTTCACAAAGTCAAAAAATCATTTAAGGGGCAATGTATACGCTTTTATAACAATATTCCGGTTGATATACAAAATTTGCCTTTCACGAGGTTTGAAAACTATAGTGAAACAAAAACTTTATACTAAAGGTTATTATACAACTTCTCCGTACTTGGATGACAAAAATCCGTGGTAGTAACCCGTTTAGCTCATGGAGGTAGTCTCGATCTCTGATATTTCAAATAAAAAAAAATATTGTAAATGTTATTTACAAAGAGCAACCCCTAGAGTTTCTTGCTCATTCTTCTCAGGGGAATCTGCCTTACGAATGAGCGGTAGAGTTTAACCATTGTGACGATTTCAAGTGTAATAATGCTTACCTATGAAATAAAGATTATTTTGAATTTGAATTTGAAATTTGATATATTTTCATGCGTTTTAAAGACATCTGTAATGGATCCACGGTTTGTTGCACTTTTATTATTAGCATAGAAGACGCCAACGGCTTTGCCGCCAGAGAAACAGAAGGTATTGGGTTCATCTAAAGAATCAGGAAGCAGTGCGTACAAGCACATTAAAAAAATTGTACGAAAATCTGAGAAATGATGAAAAAAAACGGTCTTTTGAAAATAAATGTTATTATTATTATAGATACTTGAATACTAGACGACGACGCCGCCGCTTGTTCGGTGACTATTCGATAAAAAAGGTATGATTTCGTGCCGTGTGAAAGGGATGCATTAATACTATACGCCACTGCACACCGAATACGTTAAAGTTCCTACGATTTGCTTGACAAGTCCGTTGCGTATTCAATAAACGTATAGAGAGCTGTGTGCGTTTTTTTACAAGAGAAACACCGTGTGAACGGTTCTATATCTAATGTATGAGCCACTGTTTATTCGGTAAGATTTATACTGCAGTACAATGCCGTGTGAACAGGGAGTTAGGGCGCGTTTATTTAACACGAATTATTTTATTTATTTATTTAGCAAAGAATTATTTTATTTAGCAAAATACGCTCTATTTGTTTAGCATTTACGTTTTAAATTAAATGAGCCAAAATAAATATCTACTTCACGCCATTACAGGCATAGTACAGAGTCAAGAGCACGTCAACCTTGACACTAAAAGCTCAAATTAAACTCTATGCCGCTTGTAATAAGAACGGTCCAAAGTCCAAAGTGTCAAGCTTGATATGCTCTTGACTGTAACCTCAGTATTGGTTGAATTTAAATTTGAAGAAAATATTCCACCTCTAAGGGTGGCAAACTAGGCGACGAGTCAGATTTCGCGCATTTTCCGGCAACCGATTTCAGTAAAACTTAGCGAACGCGTTGGAATTACATCTATTCCATTAACTTTTGAGGTTTTCTACCAAAAGGTCAAGAATGTTAAGTGTTTAATCTTGTGTTTTACTATAATATCTTTATTTTCGATTCTTTGTGCCATCTATTCCTAAGAATTTAAGTTGGTAGGTTATGATCAACGAATTATGAGATTTTTTAATATTTAAAATCATGCCTAATGTAAGAAAACACATACTTATTTTCAATTATTTCAGTATTTTTAGTGTATGGAGCCAAGATTCAAACAAACGGATTTCAAATCATTTATTTATATGTTCTACCGTTCTACTTCGTTTTTATTTCACCTACCCATTTTTTATTATCGGTACCTAACCTAAGTAAGGACCTAAAAGGTTTTATGAATGTATTTTTTTATTGTCGTAGTAAGTAAACTAATACAATCATTAGATAATACAAATTATTGGGTCAAAATGCCACATAACCACTTCAATAACCTGGGAGCCTACCATAACCTTTCCAATCTTATTTCAATGTAAGCTTAAACTAAGCTATGACGAACCTGTCAACCAAGTAATGTATTATTGCTAAAGTGATTGAAAGAACGAATGATTTCCCAATATTGTCTATTCCTTAATAAATATAGGAAAGTGACAACACTATGTGGACTATATAATGCCTTCCAGATTCGCTCTGGACCTTTTGGAGGGAAAAGTGTCGTTTTCATTTTGACTTTCAATTATTTTGTGAAATCTAGTTTAAAATGGAATAGGATAGTGCTATTGTGCCTTAATCGAAGAATAAAACGCGAAATTATACGAATCTCGAACTCAAATACCCGTATCGGCCCGTTTTAAGGAATCCCGAGTCAATCCAACCACGCCGCCTCAAATTGCCTATCCTCTTTGTGGCGGCCATATTTACAGAAACATAATTAAACTTCATGTTTAGGCTGATGGCTTTGCCAAAGCCTTAATAAATTAAAAAAATATATATATAATGCCTTCTCTTTTTTTTTTGATGTTCCAAATCATCTTATCGTAGTATAATGTTTAAGTACTTAATGTTATTTACATTCAGAGAATTTTTACTTTTAAGAAAAGTATGTAATAATAAAATCTATTAAAATTACGTTGTTTTCAATAATTATTCCGCATTTTCATAAAGAAAAATAAATAAAACAAGCTGATAGTCACGTTGTGAGTTCGGAACTATATAGTCAACTGTCAACTGTTAGTTTCGTCAAGGAGCATATAGATGGCGCTGTTATACTTTTACGAAATAAACATCGCATATTTTCATTTAACGAAAAATTATTTACTATGAGCTATTAAATAAAAAAACAAACAAATTATTGAAGAAATGTATGTAAATATATAAGTTCAACTTAACTTTTATTAATTACAAATTAATATTAACACAAAAAAACAGAAAATAATATTGTTTCCATTGCATCCATAACTATTATAAGATTGCTAAATTTGACTTAAGAGCAATATTACTTTAATGTTAAAGTCGCGTCATAGTACGAACTGAGTGAATGAATAGTCACAAAGCTGCCAATAAAACATCATAGTTTCAACATTACAATAAGCTTACTTTAAGCGCGTTATGGTACGAAAAGTCAATGTAAGGTTAAAGTAATATTGTTTTAAGAAGTTGTGGTAGGCCCTCTGGTCTCAAACTAGAGAAATCCTTGCACTGTGAGTAAATAATTTTACTTGGAGGCTCGACCCAAAACTCCCAGACCAGAGCAAATTTAGTAAAGTTCATTTCGAAAATTAGCCCAACCGGGAATCGAACCGTCGATCTATAATTGAGAGCAACGGTTCTCCCATCGCTTTACTAAATAAATAATTGTATACTTCGTTTCAACCCATTTTAAACAAAAAGTAAACAAACAAGTCACTGGCCCGATCATATACGATTTAGTGATGGCCAATTGTAATGCCAATTACAAATCGATTAATTAATTGAATAAATCTATTTGTTCAATTGAGTCCTACTATGGGTTTTCCTTACATAACCTGTAAGTTATATGCATATGTACATATCTCTATCTATCATCTTAATTTTAAATCCTCCTTCAAATCCTTACACTTAGATACTCGTTCTATTTCTATTGAAATATTCGATTTACTAGTCGATTACAAAAGCTTTAATTAAATGAACCGAATGGTTTTTTTTCGTTCAACACCATGGAACGAAAGATAAGTAGTTGTATAGTTAAAAAATAACCTCACTTTTGGCCTACCATTTTTCAAATACGATTTTACGTTGCAATTCAAATGAATATTGTTGGGAAAAGTTACGAGAAATATGTCAAGTCGAAATCTTCGAAATATACATGAAAGTGTTACTTATACGATTTATTGAATGATTGCTTTGGAATTTTAACCAAACAGTTCAGTTTACTTTTTGTTCAAAATGTAAACAAACTTTCATTAATTTCCAGTAGATCCAATAGAACTCACCATCTGGAAAATCTTAACTTAACAGAGGCTGTTCACGAGGGGCAGTAAGTGCATTTGACCAATTTGGGTTCCACTGCAGCCGCTGGAACGGCAAAGGCCGGTCGGTCATCATGGCGGTGAGGGTGTCTCCTGACGCTCGTTACGTTGCCGTGGCGTCCATGAACTCCTCCGTTGTGCATATACTATTGTGGCCGTCTTTGAAGTACTATTCCAATTTGGACGTCAATTGGTTTGTCAAAGTAAGTTTTTGGCTTTTCAGGTCAGTTTCTTTGAGCAGGTTTTAATAATAATAATAATTGTTATTTTCCTTTACAAAACATTGTTATACAAAAATGTTTTGTTTCAGAAGTTGCCAAGTTGAATCCAAAAAATATCTATATCAATAAATGTAGAATGACCTTGCAGAATGCTCATTCAATTCAGTTATTTTCAAACAGTTACTATCAAATAAGTTATACTCAAACTAATTAAAAGACAATGTTAAGTATGAAGCTTAGGCTGCAAGTATACGGCACCGCAGTCGCATCGGCGCCGAATCGCAATACTGTGTATACACATCAAAACTGCACCGCAGCTGTATCGCAGTCGCAATGCCGCTGTGCCATACCTTTTTCTAATATGGAAGAGATCGATTGGGAATTAATAAACTTAGTGCAAGAGAGGAACGAATTATGGGACATTCTCAGATATTCTACAAATTTATCTTCATACTTTCTTAACTCTTCATAAGGAACATGAAATTCATTCTTGTCTTCCCTATACGTTAAAATAGGGTGCACCCAAAATCGTCTTCTTCGTCATTTTGGTCCCGCCGAAGTTTGTAGATTAAATAGGAAAGTGTTACTTAACTTTTTCTGCTTAATATTGACATTGACATAATGGATACGAATAGAATAATATGAAAAACATACATCTGCACAGTCACGTCGACATTGCTATACTCTTAGAATAATAACGCATAGAATGATAGTTTCATATCAAACGAACTGTCACAAGTGAGGCAAAAATCAAGTTCATGTGGGCTAGTTTTAGTAGTAGGTAATTTTCGGTTTTAGTGAATATTTATATAAAAATACAAGTTGAAACGCGTTACTTCCTTGTGGAATGTGATGGTAGTATCTATTTTATGTTTGTCTGACGTATTTTTACACTCATTTACCCACATTTCGTCATTTTTAGCTAAAATTCTTGATCTGTTCGCGGTGCAAGTTGACCTTGAGCACTGAAGGCCCGCCCCCTCGTGTAGGCCCTTTGGGCGCGCTTCAATTTGCCTCACTTAGCGTGTGCGGACTAGGTTTCTATGCGTTATTATTCTAAGGCTATACTACAGCGTGATCGTTAAGTAACACTACGCGTTGAATGTAAAGTTACTATTCAACGCGGAAGCAATGCAGCGGCGGTGCGGTTGTGACGCTCCTGCGGTGCGGTTTTCATGTGTATACACTACACAGAATTGCGATCCGGCGGTGCAACTGCGGTGCCGTATAAATGAACCCTAAGTCTTATAATTTGGTCGAATATTACTTATTTGACAATAATTGTTTCGGACGAATGTCGGACGTAGAACGAGAGTACAGGGCCAGACACAATCATATTTAGTACTGTTGTTACTTACACCCTATGCATCAAGTACCTATTGCACCCTTGGTGCATGTAATAAGGCCTTAAATGCTTTACAGTACCGACACGCTGTGATGGCCGTTTTGACAGATTACATAGTGAGGTCAAATCTCAATTCATTATCGAAAAGAATATAATCAAATGCGAGTCGCATCTATAAGTTTTTAGCTTTATAACTAGTATTACAACAGGTAGCTGATTAAAAACTTTTAGTAAAAAGAAGATATGCTTTGTTTTGCATTGAGCTTTGACGCGAGTTTGCCGGAGGTGGAAGTTGTGCTGGCCAGCGATCCCATAAGTGACGATCGTATTAGATTTCATTTTTAAAAATTTCGTAAAACAAATGCCGAGTTGTGTCGTAAAATTATACATTCCATAAATTTTACTGCACGTCACTATTGACACCAATGTACAGCGATTAGCTCCTTCAACGTAGTTATGAATTAATACGAAACTTATGAGTGAACAAACGTCAAAACGGTCATCTTAGCGAGCCGGTACTTTAGGTTTAAAGTTCGACAAACGAAATTAGCTGATAACTTATTATTTGATTACATGTGGCTTTATTGTATCAAAGATACCATATATCGAAATGTTGACAAAATTGTACTTGTAATATGTCGATGTACAAACGATAGCCTAAGAAGATATCTGTAGGTAACCCTGCACGACAGAGCGCGAGAACTACTTTTCTCGCTTAGAGAACCCCGCGCTTGTCGCTCTAGCGCCTCATCGTGCTAGCCCTGCTGACCACCTAGCCAACCTTTTAGCTCTGAAAGCCTTCTTACGCAGTCAACTGAAAATTGAAAAAGAATCCCAGCATTTTGGTTAAAGTTTGTATTTACATATGTAAATACGTTTCTTCACACTGATTTACTCAGAACCAAATGGATGGGGGATCAGAAGCTCAACCACGAATTACGATACTACCTGACAACAATGGTCATATTATGACAACTAGCGTATCGAATTTTGACATTACTTTCATAATAAAACTGACGTGTGTATAGTACGTATGCTTCGTTGTCACGTAGTATTTCGTGGTAGACCTCCAGATAATTTAGTGCATCGACTGTGCAATACCATGTAGTGTAATTAAGGCATAAAACGGGTGTTTTATAATATATTTTCAGTCTATAGTCTGGCATCCCTGGCGCAGTGCGTTACTGGGAGTGGGCGTAGCAGTCCCCGACTTTCGGACAATGATCGTCTTGTGGGAAACCCCGTCGGGTAGACTGAGGCACACGAATCTCGGAAACTACTACGAATACAATTTAGACTGTATGCTGTTCAGCCACAGGACTGGAGAGATGGTGCTCAGTTTGTGGAACCCAGGTACCGGACTTTAGTGTTTCAACGATTGC